CACACATTTACGCCTTTTAACATTTTTCAACCATTTCCCCCCCCCCCCATGGATCTTTCTTAAATCTAAAGGGTGGCCTGGATAACGGGCTGCAAAGGCTAAATACAGTAATTTTAGGGTGGTGTAGCAACGCTTTAAATCGTAAATCACACCACAGGCGTGGGAGGGCAGTGGGTGGGTGGGTGGTGACCTCACGAAGCACACCTTGATCCATTTGTCTCCGTGTCTGCATACCTCTGCTAATTTAGCGTTCAACTGGAACGTGCAAAGCCTACGTCTCAACCAGCCCTGCCCTTTGCAGGGCTTGAGTTGGTTACGTCTCCTCTCGGCATTGCCAAAATCCGTGTCTTTATACCTCATCATTGGCCATTGTAGAAGGGGGATTAATTATTTATTATATCTATTCACACGCACCATTCAGCGGCTCCCTTTAAATATCACCGCCGATGGTGTCAGCCACTTCTCCTTGCCGTATAATAACATCGCACGCGTGCGACTCGGAGCCTGATCTCGTCTCTTAAACATCGCTAAATGTCAAATTCCTGGGTGCGACTTCGAGGGGATTCCGCTGCGCAGCTTGGGGGGTGGGGACGGTGTTCCATGCCAGCGACTCTGGCCCCTATGCTGCCATCCTGGCTGCAACACCCGGGTTTAAATTCACAGCTTCTCGGCCTAAAACTAAACTATGTTTTAATTCACCAGGTAAGGCCCCCACTGAGCTATGCAGCTCTTTTTCAGAAGCCACCTGCCCACAAATTAAAGCTTAATGAAGTGGATTATCATCACGTGGACATTTATAGGAGCCAAATGCTCTTAAACACGTGATGCTGATTCTATAATGTGGAGGGAGAAAACCGGAGGACCCCAATAAGAATCCACGTGACCACAGAAAGAGATACGTGCAAACATTAAATATACAGGCATTAGGGTCGGGATCGAATCTCGCCACCACGGCGCCCCAGTCAGGAGTCTGTCCTAGTCCAAGTTCAAATGTGCACATTTCCCCTCTGGTGCCTTTTGCAATGTAGCATTATTGCGGTCAAAAATTCAGAAATATGTCGGCGATTTTCATGCCATTGCCCTTATTCCTCTGGCAAGAAAGGAAGCGCCTGCCAACAGCGCTTGCTGTTAAAGAACATGCTTTGTTATCTGTCTGAACCGCGGCTTGTGGGACCAGTGAGTCAAATTCGGCGTACTGGACACCGCACCGCTCACCCCGCTGCCGCCGCGCCGGGAATGTGGCCTTGCTCACCGAATGACCGCGGGACTTTTTTAAGTGTCACGGGAATGGTAGGCCGTGTGTCACCGTCACGGCCAGCGTGACTCGTCGTCGCAGCAAAGTGGCTCGTGATGCACAAACACAGTCCGCCCCCCTCCCCTTTTGGGTGATGGATGTGGGGCTGAGCATTCCTGCATCGTGCAGCATGCAAGGGAAACGTACGCTTCATGAGTAAATATGTACTGAAATGCAAATCGTTGAACTGCGTTCACATACCTTACCAGCCTTTGGCCCTCCGAATGTGCTCAGAATCTGAGAAAAGTACACAACTTTTGTGAGTTCAAATGCCTGTATGCTAACATCCGCCATCTCAGCGCTACCAAAATGGATATTGTTGTTTTTCTCGAGTAAAGTGTGGACCTTAAACTGTAAGTCATTCAAGCTGTCTGCCCTGTCTCTACATCGACTAAGTCAGTAAATATCCTCTCGCCTCTATACAATTAAGTCGGGCAATCTTTGCCCTCTCTTAACTCCGACTGTCAAGGCAATTCATTACTCGGTCCTTTCTCTACGGCAACTAAATCAGGCAGTCTCCCTTTCTCCGCATCCACTCATTCAGGCCTTCTTGCCATCCTTTCCGTTCCACAACTGAGTCGGGCAGTCTATTTTCCCAAAACATGAATCCCTTGCATACATATTTCCGGCTGTAAGGCAGAAGTGATTATAGGATAGTGAGCCTTTAAACCAAAAAAAGTGTGTTATATGTTGTGATTTAAGCACGCTTGGACTTAACCGTTTAATAAAAATAAACAGCCTTTAATTATTTTCCGTGGCATTCCATTCTGTCAAGACCATGCAGTGCGGATGAAATATGAGGCAAAGAAGGTGCGTGTAATCACTCACGACCAGCTCAAGTTCTCATTATTGGCATAGCTGCATTTCTCAAATAGCAGCAGCTCATTTTCCAAAGCAAGAAACGCGACGAACATGCGGTGTTGCGTTATTGGCCCCGGCAGCTCAAGACAGACGCGCCCCGCCACCATGCCCGACCACCATGACCTGCCACCATGCCCCGCCACCATGCCCCGCCACCATGCACCACCACCATGCCCCGCCACCATGCCCCACCACCATGCCCCACCACCATGCCCCACCACCATGCCCTGCCACCATGCCCCGCCACCATGCCCCGCCACCATGCACCACCACCATGCCCCGCCACCATGCCCCACCACCATGCCCCACCACCATGACCCACCACCATGCCCCACCACCATGCCCCACCACCATGCCCCGCCACCATGCCCCGCCACCATGCCCCACCACCATGCCCCACCACCATGCACCACCACCATGCCCCACCACCATGCCCCACCACCATGACCCACCACCATGCCCCACCACCATGCCCCACCACCATGCCCCACCACCATGCCCCGCCACCATGCCCCACCACCATGCCCCACCACCATGCACCACCACCATGCCCCACCACCATGCCCCACCACCATGCACCACCACCATGCACCACCACCATGCCCCACCACCATGCCCCACCACCATGCACCACCACCAATGACCCACCACCATGCCCCACCACCATGCCCCACCACCATGCCCCACCACCATGACCCACCACCATGCACCACCACCATGCCCCACCACCATGCCCCACCACCATGACCCACCACCATGCCCGACCACCATGCACCACCACCAATGACCCACCACCATGCCCCACCACCATGCCCCACCACCATGCCCCACCACCATGCCCCACCACCATGCCCCACCACCATGCACCACCACCATGCACCACCACCATGCCCCACCACCATGCCCCACCACCAATGACCCACAGATGTAACGTTTGTTCTCGTGACCAACATTGATTGTACAAAAAAAGTTACCTCGTAGCACATGAAACAACCGTGCGCTATGAAGAATGGCCATTGCCCGAAATGTGATTTGTTATATATTCTATTTAAAGCCACACGCTGTTGTTCATTAATGTGTTGCGTTTTTGGTCATTGCGATTGTCCACCACTGCCAATGCAGCAGCATCACCGACTAATTTGTTTAACAATATTTGTAGTCCACTGTTCAGCAGATTGCTTTAATGTAAACAACACGGTGTCGGATTAAACATTTCTCTTCCCTGTGCTGAAATGTTTTAAGTTGTTTTTCTAAGCAAAGGCAATTAAAATAGTTGAGGTGCTTTGCATTCTTTCGCGGGTGACTTGTGTTTTATTATTGTTTAATGATTCATTAAGTGTTCTGAGTGCAATGTGTTTTTAAATTCTGTAATCTCTTAAATCTTCAAGAATGTGTGCTTTTACCAACTTGAAAGGGGCCTTAACATTTAGTAACTGGACTTGTAAAGTTTTTACAAACATTAAAAAAAACAAATGCAAGTGTGAGGGGCCAACATTTAGTTGCATACATCAGCTTTTTATTACTAGAAAAATATTTCGTCTACTTAAAACAGCTTGGACTGTGTCATTATTTCTCCATGTTAAGAGGTAGCATAACGCAGCAACTAGGATGATTCGCGTTCACCGAAACCGAATTGGCCTGTTCTTTTGTATGGCAGGAAGGAGAAGCCACAGTTGGCTCAAATGCATTCGTAGTTGAATGCTAATTTATGACCCCGGCATGGATGTCGCATGGATGGTGCATTCGTGGGCAATTCGTTTTATGGTTTAGACTTTAGCACAGTCGCAGGTCGCCCGATTATTTGATCGTTCGCTTGGGGGAAGGCGTAGTACGGCGTGCGTCTCCCCACGCTGCGTTCGAGCAGCACTGTTTCGCGAGGTCCCAGAGTTGTCGTGGGAGAGAGAGAGAGAGAGAGGAGCTCGCTGCTTCCACGGCCAGCTCCTCCTCAATGAGGTTTTTGTTTGCCCACGTCCGTAGCCGCCCCTCGATTCCGTCCAGCGAGTGCCGACGTCTTTATTTTCGGCTAACCTTTTGATAGTGTTTCTGGCCTCGGCCAATCGTTTTAAAAATGCAGGGCTCGGTATGACATTTGACGTCAAAAACTGGCCGTGCAAAATCAGTAGGGCACGGCCGTAAATTAATTTAATACAAGGTGAAGCCCACTAGGCAGTTATTTTCTATAGGTCATCTCTCATTGGCCAAGTGACACCACTGGCCAGTCAATTTATTTCTGCAAATAACAATAATTTTGGCTTTTTATGGGGTCGTGGCTGAGTAAAATAACTAAATGTCAGCACCCAAAGGTCTGTTCAATTAAGCATTTCGATGAGTAATTGGTAATAAAAAAATTGCAATGTGGGTTCAGTGGTTTAGAAAGATTAGGTTTAAGACAAATGTTTCCTGTGCTCAGCCTACAATGTTATTATGTAAATTAAAGGGAAACGTTTAGCTCGGCAAAGGAGCATCATACCTTGGAAGTCTGTCATTTTTAGTAATGCTTGTAAGTTCTGAGTGGAGTCGTCCTATGCACTGCTTGGACATTGAACTGCGCCAGCAAAAAAGAAATGCTCACTCGGCTGTATGTGTATGGGATTCACTAATCTGTGCCAAAAATGTCTATGTTCCATAATTGTCCATGTTTAACTATGCTGATGACGGCGGTGCTGGCGATGGTAACGATTATTGTGAGGACGCCGTGATGTTCAGCTATGAAAACCGCATTGTTTTCACAAATTACCGAAAAATCCAAGGCCCTAATAATGTCGACGATAATGAGTGTACAGTAAACAACGTCGCAGCCCGTGCGCGTCTTTTGATCGTCTCTCGTTGTTATTCTTCCGGGCAGAGGTGACGCAGATTGAAGACCCGCGGGCACAGTGGCGGGGCGAGCAGGAGGTGATGCTCAAGGAGTACCTGGTGGTGGCCAAGGATGCGCTGGACGCACGCTGGGAGATGTTCCAAGTCAAGCAGCAGCGGCTGGCACTGGCGCAGGAGGAGTACCAGCACCTGAGCAACGTGTGGCAGGACAAGAGTGGCTCGCGCACCAGCTGTAAGTACACGCGCGCACTCCTCTCGGCTCCCGCCAGCGACATTGGCCAAATCTGTCTCCCGCCTCCTCTGGTGTTTTGCCTGCCCTATGCTGGTGGCATTGACTTTGCTGCCCAGATCATTGATTTGATGGTAATTAATGCACACTCTTTGTATATGTTATTCTGTACATCACAGCAACCGGTCAAACGCATCGATGGGCGGTGCGGTGAATGTATGAGAGATCACTGATGGGCTTGGCACAGTTTTTTTAGTGATGACCAGGCTGCATGGCCAGTGACTGTGTAATTGTTGGCACACTGCACTGTGAACCCATCCACTGTTACTCTTCAATGGGATGGCTGTCTTGTCCTAAGCACTCGATCACATCAGACCTCTGATGTGATGTTGGCAGTGTTGTATATCAGCGCAATCTGCAGATTGAAAAAAAAGTGGTAATGACACAGGGTTAACCCCCACCCCTCTTTCTCTTGCAGTGCATTCTGGGTCCTCGGCAAGTACCAAATACGACCCAGATCTCCTGAAAGCTGAAATCGCCGAAACAAAGGAGAGGGTAAGCTATACATATGCACGGGGTGAATGTTTAAATATATTAAATGTGCTTTCAAGTTTTTATCTTTTGTATCTTTTTTTAAGAGTGCCTCCTATTTTAGAGACAAAGTCAAATACTGTTTAAAAATCCCCCGTGTAGCTTTGGACAGAATTTTGGGACAAGTGCCGTGTTAGCGAGCAGCTGTGAAGGTCGGCACAGCACACAAGGGGATGGGTGGAAAGCACCACTCCCTGCTGCCTTAGCCTACCTAGTGCTGATGTTTCCACACTACACCACATACTTATTTGAGGCTAAATCGACCGAGGGGAGGCCCATAACCGGCTCTGATATTTGTCACCAATGTTCGCTATGAGTTGGCGTTAAACTCTGGTTGCCAGTTTCGTAGTGCAGCGCACTAACTACGACACAACCACTCTAACAGAAACACACACTTGAAGACACAAAGCCTAAGCAGCAAATCGGATTCATGTGGGTTTAGCGCATGAAGCTTCATGAAAAGCAGTTTGTACATACTCTTTGGTTCTTTCGGTAAAGTCACGTAGTTATAAATAAATTAAAATAAAACAAATCATGACATGTCGACAAATGTTTTTGCTGAAGTGGGAGAGAGAGCTGCCGTGGCAAGAGGTTATATAGGTAACAAGGGGGGATGGGCAAGGGGGGAGAAAGAGGGGGGGAGGGGGTCAATCCACTACATCCCACGAAATGGTGCAGTCCCACAACCATCCATGACAGCCTGCATATGGCAGGACCACCTGTCCCAGCACTATCCAGGCTCAAACCTGCTTGTACTTCCAACATCTGACGAGCGAGTGTGCATTCCGTATGATAGGCTTTAAAAATAATCTTTACCCGATGTTAATAATTTTAAAGAAAATCAATGCATTTCCTTAAACCCTTTAGAAGGCCGATTGGGATACGATGTCGGTTTAGTGACGGAGAACCGTGAGGTTCCACTGCGTTCAGACTGCACATCACCCGGCTGCCCTGAAGTGGCAGCTCATCGAGATCAGAATCGGAATATTTATTCATACCTGCGGAATCTGATGAGCTATAAAGCTTTTTTTTCACAGATGTCCAGTCGGGGCGGGTCAGAACGTTACAGCAACAAACAATAAAAAACACACGATAGGAGTGCAAAGTGTAGGAAAAAAAGGTCAGCAAATAACGAACGAAAAATACACAAATAAAAGTGAACTATTTGTATCTTCCCAGGTAAAGCCCCCACTGAGCTATTAGCTTCTTCCCCCCCCCCCCCCCCGGTGATCGTTGCTTCCGGCAGGTGTCGAGGCTCAAGCGGGAGCTGGAGAACATGACGCAGGAGCTCAACTACAAGGAGAAGGGCATCGAGACCCTGCGAGAGTAAGTCCTCGCACCCTTCCGCGAAGCGAGACGCCCCCTCTCCTGTGTGTGTGTGTGTGCCCGTCTAAACTTTACGTAGAGGAAGCCTTTCCATTGCTCCAAAGTACTCCCGGGGTATTGCCACGTTCGTGCTCGAGGGGAGATCCCAGCGACAGCGGCGACAGTTTTCGACTGGTGATGCGCGGACGGACGGATGTACGTACGAACGTGTGGCCGTGCAGAAACAGCTGGGATAACTGCATGTGGTGGAAAGGTGAAAAGTTGAGATGACTGTCACGGTCTAGTCGGCTTATCGCCATCATTTCTCGGGGACCGAAGACAAAGGCAAAGATTCCCCACACAGCCTTAACAGACTGTTGGGGCAAGTGCTGTTGGTGAGCACCTATGAAGGTTGGCACGGCACACGAGTGGCTAGGTGGCCAACGCCACGCCCGGCCGCCTTTGTCTCCCCAGTGGCGATGTTTACGCACCGCACCAGGTATTAATTTGAGGCCGAGTCGACCTAGGTGAGGCCCAGGGCCGTTTCAGATAATCGTCGCTGGCGTTGTTGGCCGTGAGCGGGAATCGAACTCGGGTCACCAGGTTTGTAGTGCAGCGTAGCGCTCACCGCTGGTGAAATGAGCACATGCAGTGGGAATTCTTTATCGGTGATTCCCACCTGAATGTGAAGTTTTACTTAATGATTCAATACTTGGCAACAGAGATGAGCACCTTCCCTTTCTCACAGCATGGAATGCCCTGGCATTAAATATACATGTACGTTAAGTGTTGTATGGGGACAATATTCCATTATACCAATTATCCGTATGTGAAGAGCCATCGTATTGACTGTCGAGAGAAATAAGTGCGCTTGGGGGGGACACGTCACTCAAAGGGGATGATGGCCGATGGTCGATACAAACTACAGTGTGGCAACTAAAGGAAGGAACACTCCTGAGAGGTGGACCGCTGTGGAGATGGAGTGATGAAAACGGTTTGTTGCACCGCAGGATTGTGAGAGAGATGACGCCGGCTTGCGGAGGTCATCATCCAGCAGTGGACGGATCACGTCCGCTGCCGACGATGATAATGGTGACGATGTTTGACCTGCGTGCTCATTGCGTACGTTTATCCTGAACAATAAGTAAGTCTTCACTGTCTTCTGGTGCTTGCTCCGTAACGTACCATCATCCCTACCGCTCCTTGTGCGAGGTGGGGGGGGGGGGGTGGCACAGCAGCCGTGGACAGCACCACCACCAACCTCTCATAGGTCCTCTGCCCTCACCGTGCCTCCAGCAGTTCCCTCCACTCGCACGCTCCGTGGCAACCGTCTCGCATGACGCGGGAAATGTTCCGCTGTTCTTGACTGATAGAAATTGGCCTCGAGAGAGTCCTCCGGCAGTAGGGGGTGCGAGTGCTATGTTAATTGCAACTCCTCGAGGTAGAGAGAAACATTATAAATTGGGCCAGATTGAATATTGTGCTCCTGCGGAGGTGCCACCACCATTAGCCACTCTCAAGCACACAGTGGCAGGCTGAGAACGTAACGGTGACGAGGAAACGGTTTATGGGGGGGTGTGTCACTGGCGTCTGCGAGGGAGACAGCGCTGGTGGCAATTGAACAAAAAATCTACGTCGGCAAGCCAAGTGTGGCAGAGCAAAGAGCAAGCGCTGGCATCTTGGGGCGATCTGGTTATGAAAGGTGGTTGAGCAGGTGGCAGCCGAGACTGTGTCAGAGCTACGACGGTTCTCGCCTCTCTCCTCCGCTGTGTTCCCACTTCAGTTTATCGTCAAAAGTGGGCGTTTCATTTCGCACCGTGTGACCCGCACCTCGAGACAGGCACAGCGTGCACCGCGGTCCCGTCGCATGCAGCGCGGTCCGTCCGCGTTAGTCACTAGCGTCTTTCCGCCGGTGCAGCCGTCACAAGCCGCTGCGCGCCTCATCGACTGATCGCCAACGAGTCGTTGCAAATAGGGGTGGTGGGTGCGGGGGGGGTTTGCCGGGCGCCAGCAAAAATCCGCGTCGCCACGAAGGGGTTAAGGCCGTCCGCTGCGCGGGAACCTTCCCGGGAGACCGGAGGCTCGGCGACTGTGAGCGAGCGAGCGAGGCTCGGGCTGCCGTACCAGCGGGCGCCACTGCCACTCTTCCGGACGCTCGCTGGAAGAGGACGTGGGGGGGAACGTGAGCGGCGGTGGCCGCCGCTCAACGCGAAACTGCCCCCCGCGAATCCCTGTTTATTTATTTATTTACCTGCTTATTCGAGGCTCCGTGGGGGTTTCTGTGAAGGGTAAGGACGGTGCGTCTTTCTCAACGTTACATTAACCGCGCGAAATGCTTTGTTTAAGGTGTGTGCGCGCGTGTGTGTACACGCGCGTGTTTGTGTGCATGTGTGTGTTTTTTAAGCACGACATAGACTGGTTAATCTTGAATCCATCAGCTTTTCAGAATCATTATGAATCGTGGCAGCTTGTGTGTGCCATATTAACCACGGAGGTTAAATAATTCACGAGAATTTCAAAGGCATTCCAACTGCATGCAGCCCGTGTGTGTGTGTGTGTTCACTGTCTCTGCGCCCTGTGGAGCCAGGGCTGTTCTCAGGCAACACAAGCAAACGGATGCAGGAAGGAGGAAGATTGTGATTTTTTTTTTTTAAAGCACGAAGATCAAATGTGTCTGAGACTTCTTAGTTTGGCGTTAATTCATTGACCGGAGCGGAAATTGCATGTGATATCATCATTTTCATAGATTTACAGTGAGGGAAAAAAAGTATTTGATCCCCGCTGCTGATTTTGTACGTTTGCCCACTGACAAAGTAATGATCAGTCTATAATTTTAATGGTAGGTTTATTTGAACAGTAAGAGAGAATAACAAAAAAATCCAGAAAATGCATGTAAAAAATGTTATAAATTGATTTGCATTTTTATGAGGGAAATAAGTATTTGACCCCTCTGCAAAACATGACTTAGTACTTGGTGGCAAAACCCTTGTTGGCAATCACAGAGGTCAGACGTTTCTTGTAGTTGGCCACCAGGTTTGCACACATCTCAGGAGGGATTTTGTCCAACTCCTCTTTGCAGATCTTCTCTAAGTCATTTAGGTTTCGAGGCTGACGTTTGGCAACTCGAACCTGCAGCTCCCTCCACAGATTTTCTATGGGATTAAGGTCTGGAGACTGGCTAGGCCACTCCAGGACCTTAATGTGCTTCTTCTTGAGCCACTCCTTTGTTGCCTTGGCCGTGTGTTTTGGGTCATTGTCATGCTGGAATACCCATCCACGACCCATTTTCAATGCCCTGGCTGAGGGAAGGAGGTTCTCACCCAACATTTGACGGTACATGGTACCGTCCATCGTCCCTTTGATGCGGTGAAGCTGCCCTGTCCCCTTAGCAGAAAAACACCCCCAAAGCATAATGTTTCCACCTCCATGTTTAACGGTGGGGATGGTGTTCTTGGGGTCATAGGCAGCATTCCTCCTCCTCCAAACACGGCGAGTTGAGTTGATGCCAAAGAGTTCCATTTTGGTATCATCTGACCACAACACTTTCACCCAGTTGTCCTCTGAATCATTCAGATGTTCATTGGCAAACTTCAGACGGGCATGTGTATGTGCTTTCTTGAGCAGGGGGACCTTGCGGGCATTGCAGGATTTCAGTCCTTCACGGCGTAGTGTGTTACCAATTGTTTTCTTGGTGACTATGGTCCCAGCTACCTTAAGATCATTGACAAGATCGTCCCGTGTAGTTCTGGGCTGATTCCTCACCGTTATCATGATCATTGCAACTCCACGAGGTGAGATCTTGCATGGAGCCCCAGGCCGAGGGAGATTGACAGTTCTTTTGTGTTTCTTCCATTTGCGAATAATCGCACCAACTGTTGTCACCTTCTCACCAAGCTGCTTGGTAATGGTCTTGTAGCCCATTCTAGCCTTGTGTAGGTATACAATCTTGTCCCTAACATCCTTGGAGAGCTCTTTGGTCTTGACCATGGTGGAGAGTTTGGAATCTGATTGATTGATTGCTTCTGTGGACAGGTGTCTTTTATACAGGTAACAAGCTGAGATTAGGAGCACTCCCTTTAAGAGTGTGCTCCTAATCTCAGCTCGTTACCTGTATAAAAGACACCTGGGAGCCAGAAATCTTTCTCATTGAGAGGGGGTTAAATACGTATTTCCCTCATTTAAATTCAAATCAATATAACATTTTTGACATGCGTTTTTCTGGATTTTTTTTGTTGTTGTTCTGTCTCTCACTGTTCATATTAAAATTATAGACTGATCATTTTTTTGTCAGTGGGCAAACGTACAAAATCAGCAGGGGATCAAATACTTTTTTCCCTCGATGTATATATTTTGTAAAATGTAAGTGATTAATGAATTACCAATTTACTATGTAAAAATATAAAATCTCATTCTCAAGGCTTTACTAAATACCATAGTTGTAAGTCTGTATTGTACACAAGTGCTGTTTGCACACAAATAAATTAAGAAATCCCTTGGGGCCAAGCTGCTTTTAGGGTGGCACTTTCTCTACGGCCCAGTCAGGCCAAATTTTATTTTAGAAGCTTATAAAGGGACAGGAAAGTGGTGTCACCTTGTCCGACTCCATTTCTTATATGGATTTTTTATTACTTTCTTGCAATCTCAGAGCAACTGTTACATTTATGTAATGTAACAAATATGTATCTGTTTAGGCCTTGGGTTTCTGGGAACTTGAATCACTGCATCAATTTCCACCGTGGCCTTTTGCCAAAGCTAGTCACAGCGACATCGTAATATATTTCATTAAAATTGGATAAACAAAGTCGTTAACATAAAAACAGCAAATGTTAACCGTCTCAGATTGGCTCCATGGCACAGCGATTCTAAAAGCCATTGGAAATTAACTGCAGGAGTTGATTTGGGAACTTCATGAAGAAGCCTGCAAAGTTGGGCTCAAGATGAATATGAGAAAAACCATAGCCATGCACAAAGTCATTCAACGGTGGAAGATATATGTTGACAGGACAAAACTATAAAACAAG